CTTGCTGCCGCCGCGGGCCAGGATTAGGGCCGCCAGGTGCGGGGGCTTCTCCACACCTCGGCCCTGGCCCCCGCGAGAGTTGCGCTGCAGCTTTGGCGGCCGACCCCGGGAGGGCCGGCCCCGCGGGTTGGAGACGGAGGTGGCGGCCCCCTTCTCCACCGAGTCCATCTTCCTCCCACGCCTTCTCCCCAGCTTCTCCACATCCGGGAGCTCTTGTCTCGCCACCTCAGCTCGGCGCCGCCCGACCTCCCCGCCCGACCGCTAGCGGGGGTGGCTGTTCCCGGCCCCGCCCACCGCCACGTCCCCGCGCCCTCGCGGGGCACGCCGGGAATTGTAGTCCGAGGGTCGCTCGCAGGGTCCCGGAGGCCCAGTAGGCTCTGCCCGGGCGACCCCCAAGTCCAAGCCCGGCACGGAAAGGCCAGAAATGCCTTGAAGGAAGTGTAGCTTCCAGGGGGCTTGATATTGTATGGAAATTAATAAAATAGGCAACACAGGTTACCGATCTTCTGCTGAAGAACTTCTCCATTTAGGAATTGTGGTGGGTTTTCCACGGCACACCCTGGTGCACCCGAACACTAAACAATTTTATATTTTAAAATTTATATTTTAAACGTCCGTCTTTCTGCTATGCTTCTGACTCATTGTTTCCAAGAGATGACCTCATTCGAATGTCCTCCAAGCACCTTAAATTCAACATTTTAAAAACAACCCTCCCAGAGCAACCCTGTATTTTTGGTAACTATGTGAGGAGAAGCTCAAACTGCTTCTACCTCTGCATTTTCTTTTTCTTTCTTTCTTTTTTTTTTAATTGAGGTGTAACTGACATATAACATGTTAGTTTCAGGTGTACAATGTAATGATTCAATATTTGTATGTATTGGGAAATGATCACCACAATAGGTTTAGTTAACCTTTCAACATATCTGTCTGCCTTTTCTATCAAATATCACCATCCGTCTGGTGGAAAAACTTGGAAGTCAACCTTGTCTATTCCCTTCTAAGTGTAGTAGACACCTGTTAGTTTTCTTGTTTTTGGACTTCTGAAAACCTTTTCCTTTCAGCAATTGTCACCTCTCTTACCTGGTTTGCGTTTCACGCAAATCCTCAGCAGAGTAGCAGTGGGTGTGTGACCCAAGTTGATCAATCTAAGTACCTCAGCTTCCTGAACACAGTTGTGGTCTAGGAACAGACATATGACCAAGCAGAGCCTCTTGGCGTCCTTTCCAGAGACTCTGGGAAAGAAAGGATCTTTTTCTTGCTGAATATTTGGGTGCTAAGGACCCTGTAAACCTGAATCCTGAGGGCAGGATGAGGGAAGGGGGTGGTGGGAGTTTCTGTTCTGAAATTTGCTGGGAGGCTGATGTTCACACAGAAGAAAACAGGGCCAAGACATGCAGGGAGAAGAGAGAAAGAGCCCCGATGGCATCACTGAAACCTCTTAATCCAGCCAAGAGGTTCAAAGGTGCGTGCGTGCGCACACACACACGCACACACGTGCATACATATATCTCTGTTTTGGGGTGGTTTTTTAGGAAGGAATCTCCTACCTAGCATGCATTTTGTTTTTTTACCAGTTTTGCAAGCCTGTATCTGGAAGTAGAGAGTCTCCTTGTTTGTCCTGGGTAAAGGCTAGTACATCCGGAACGAATGAAAGGTAGTAGTACTGCCTCTTCTTCTCAAGACGTGACAGAAAGCCTTTGTGCTTCTCAGGTCTTGGCTCTTTCTGAAGGAGACAGAGTAAGCCTTTCGTGTTTTGGGTCCTGGACAGGCACTGGAAACTTCACGTCTCATCTGTTTGCCTGTGAAGTAGCTCAGCCCTTACTGGGACTGGTTCTGGGAGAAGGTGCTGAATGTAGGGTAGTGTGGCTGTAAACAGACATCAGTGCAGTGTCTGAGGAAGGTGGGCAGACCCCAAGAACAATCCCAGCACTCCAGGCCAAGTGACCACTTTGCCCCCAACGTACTGGCTCATTGACTGGGACCTTCACAGTTATTTTGCTTGAGAGAGAGCAACACTGAGTTTTTGGTAACCATGTAAGGAGGACATCTACTGCTTCTTACACACCAAAACCTCTTTTCTCCTTTCCACACCAATAACAATCTTAGTTCCCACTAATAAGATAGTTACCATTCTCCACAGTAATTCCCTAGGGGCCCACAAACCCTAGTGGGCCACTGACATCTGAATAGTTTAACTTCTCTGGCACTAGTGTCCTCTAAGCTGGGGACACAGCAAGTGGCACCACTGTTGCTTATCAAAGGAGATTATAGCAATTTGTGTAAAAGCTGTGAGACTATGGACTCCTCCAGGAGAGGGACTGTTCCTTCTTTGTAATCACATCCAGAACAATATGTGGGTCACAGTATCTGCTTAGTAAACGGCAGTGGACTACGTTCGATGTCACTTTTCCAGTCTCTGCCCACACATACTTTTTTCTTTTTTTTTCACTCTCCAACATTACCATAAACTCATTTATTTAAAAGAAACTGTACGTCCATATCCTGGCTGAATTGGGCATTCATATTATGTGTTAAATGCCCAGGAATAGCAAAAAATTAAACCAACTCCATACAAAGCAACTATAAGAACCCAAAAACAAAACAAACAAACCAAGAATCATACTTTTAGCTGTTGAAAACTCTCTCCCCCAAACGAACCACAAAGTGGTATACTGCCACGCATACTTTTTTATATGGTTGCAGTCTTACAGTAATAAAGCATCTTGTATTCTTTGTATTTTTACAGTACAGTTTTGATTAGACTTGACAACTGGCTGTCCCAGTCCTGAGAAAGAAAGAGAGAGAGGCAGGGGAAAGATTAGAAAAAGTGGAAGGTGATTCATCTAATTCAATATATGACACATGGAAGTTTGATAATTTTTTTTCAGTGAAATCAGAATATACTCATTTAATATATTTTTCTTCTGTGTGGTCAATGGGCATAAAGTTTCCGGTAAACAAGATGGATAAACTCTAGAGATTTGCTGTACAACATTGTACCTATCGTCAACAATAATGTATTGCATACTTAAAATTTAAGATGGCAGATCTCATGTTACATGTTCATATCACAGTAAGTAAAATTTTGAAAAAAAGAGAGAGACAATAACTGTGCCAGGAAGAGGAAATGTTAGCTTGTCTTTGGGTTACTCTGAAGGAGTTAAAAATAAACTGCTCTCAAAACAAATATTCGGATTCACCCTTTCTTTAAAGATGTGTGTGAAGTATTGCTGCCAAAGAATAATTCATTTGTATTCATAGTGAGAGAATAAATCTTTGTATGACATCTTATTTTATGATCCTGTATATGAACACACTCAATACACAGAGGAGTCCTTTCATTCATTGATTTGCTCGCATTTATTGCATTCCACAAGCCAGGCCTTGTGTGACACTTCAGGAAAGCAAAGCAAGATGGCCTAGACCCAGAGCTTAGCATTCTGATGGGGAGACAGGCAAACATCAGTAGAGTGTCGTTTGTGCTTTGATAGAAATGTGTGTTCTGGGGTGGGCAAGAATGGGGGAGAAGTATTTAGGTTAGAGTGAGATTTTTGTTGGCTGAGATGACTCTTGCAATACTGTTCAAGTACAAGAATCTTCTCTGCTGAAGGAACAACCTTGGGGAAGGAACAGAAGAATGAAATAGCTTTCCAAAGAGAAACTGGGAAACTTGAAGTCGGTCACTATAATTGGAGCATATGATACTTGTGGGTTCATGGCAAAAGATGAGAATAGAAGGGAACATGTGGGCCAGATTACAGCACATAAAGGTATTAGGAGCCAAGCCTTGTCAAGGAAGTTATAAAGAGCAGGGATAGGACACAATTCACTTCATTCTTTCAGCAAATCATTATCGCATGACTACTGTGTGTTAGGTACTTTGCTGGCCCCTGGAAATACATCGAAGGTGCTAGAAAGTGCTCAATTTCTGGATGTATCTTAGAAGTATAGCTAATAGGATTTGCTGACAAGCCAGATGAGGGGTGTGAGAGAAAGAGGGAGATAAGAGTGGTGGCAGGATCTTTGGCCTGACCATTATAATTTTGTAATGTTGGTGACTCTCACCAACAAGAGGGTAGGATTGAAGCCATACCAACATCTGAATCTAAGGATCAGTCAGTCTCTGGTGATGCAAGAATCCCAGCTCTGGAGAAAACCCCCTTTCCTTGAGTATTTCTGGGAGTTCTCAAGGGTGTCTTACATGTGCCCATGAAAATGAAAGTCCTGGCTGCAGTTGCTAGAGCACCACAGACCTATTTCTCTCTCTGGAGCTAAGCTAAGATTTTCTTATTGGTTTTTTAACACATAGATTTTTCCTGAGTTGTAAGTACTACATATATGTGTATATATATATATGTATATACATATATATTTTTTACTGATAACTTTATCTTATCTTAATTGCTCTTTTGTGGACCTTCTCCATTTTCACTGCATCTTCCCCTCTCATTTAAGTCAAACATAGGTTAGAGACCAGCTTTCCTACATTCAACACATGTCAGGGCATTGAAGAGTAATCACACTGCCTTTCTTCAAGTATGTTACATTTACCTATTTGTTGGTGATTCTATTCTTTATTACAGATTTTGCTACTTTATCTGGCTAGAAATCAGGCTCTAGCTAAATGTTATGGAACTCTTTTTGCACGAGAAGTTACAAACTTTGGGAAGCAATTCCACAAATTCATTCTTGAGGTTCTCCAAAACTTTTCGGTGGAAGATTTCTATTCCCACAATTCTGTGATTTATACGGAGTTTATCAAACAAGTCTAGAACAACATAAAAGTATTTGCTCTAGAAAAATGACATGTCTTCCTCAAAATACAAATAGAGGGTTAAAATAATCCTTTGTAAAAAGTAATTTGGTAGAGAATTAATTTGGTATCATTGTTTTGCCTCAATAATCACAAGATTTAGAACACATTATAAATGTTATTACCTACTAGAGTTAAGAATCCCATGTTCTATTTTACTGCTCCCTTTTTACTCTCCCCACTCCTAAAGAATATTTGCATATGAAAAATTAATTCTCCATAAAATGAGCTAAAATAAAGATTGATACAACAGATTACCTCCTTTCTGAATTTCACCCCATCGAAACTGATGGCGTCTCACAACAGAGAAAACAGAATCATATCCTTCTTCTCGAATCATTTCTGCAACTTTTTGAAGATCAGTAGGATGTAAACACGGAGAAGTAGCTTGAATATTTCCTACAATGTCAACCTCTTAAAAAGACAAAACAAATGAAAAGAACATCAAAATAAAGTTCTTTGCAAGCAAGTAACACTAAGATCTAAATTCAAATGTTAAAACAAGTCTTGTGAAATGATAGGCAAGTTGGAAATTATGTAAAATTTTGAATAAACTATTAGTCAAACTCATACCATTGTGATAATTAAGAAATTCTATGATGGCATCTAGTGAGGTAGAACTGTCTTTTGAAGCTTCAGAACTTCTTCGATGAACTTGTGCACCAAATTGTTTGGCCACATTCTCAATTTCATCATGGTCTGTTGAAACCCAAACACTGTACAGATATTAAAAAATAAAAAAATAAAAAGCCAAATCACTAAAAAAAAAATCATTAAAGATAAAAAGGAGCTCTGCAACCCCAAAAATACAGCTTACATAATGTTAGAATAGTTTTTGTACCAGCAAAATAATGTTACAGATAGAAAGTAATATAAAATTTAAAGAAAAATAAAGTATTTTCTATGTAAACCACATTTTAAAATGTCTGAATCAAAAATGTGGTCCTAGATGTAATATTTATATTTACATATATAAATATTTATATTATATATAACATATTATTTATATACATATTATTTACATAGCCCTAGATATAGTTTTATAAAATTAGAAAAAAATGATAATTGGTATTTTTGAAGCTACTGGTATATTAAAGACACTAGTAACACGAGAAGTTCAAATCTAAAGAAAATAAAGAAGATACTGCTTCTTATTCCCCATCAAAATCCAAAATATTGTGTATTTAATATACTTGCTAAGAAAAAAATGGATTTGGCTTAGCCAAACCACAACACTGAAAGAGTTTCAAGCTTAGTAGAGACTAAATGCCCAAAACAATCAGACAAGCCAACTCTTTTTTTGCCAATTAACAATGGGTATATAAATATCTGAACACAGAATCAAGTGGGTAAAGCCACCGATAACAATTAAAGATGTGGAGAACATGACTTGATTGGCTCAGGAGAGCTTAGCTGAACAGCTCTATTAACCACAGCTTACAGAGTTGACCATTTGGACTTTATAAGATGACGACTAAGAGTAAAATATAAAACATTATTTGGGGGCGTGTACTAGTCTGTACTGAATTGTTTCCTTGACCTTTACAAATCCCCACTGCTAGAAACAGAAGATGTATTACTCTAGCCACAATGTTTTTATAGTGACATTACACAAAGAAATCTGAATGACTTCTTTGGTATATGCATATACAGTTGACCCTTGAACAGCACTGGTTTGAACTGTGTGAATGTTTTTCAGTAAATGTACTGGAAAAATTTTAGAAGGTCTGCTAAAATTTGAAAAAAATTGCAAACTGTGGTGTAGCCTAGTAATATTGGAAAAAATAAGAAAAAGTTAGGTGGGACTTCCCTGGCGGTCCAGTGGTTACGACTCCGTGCTTCCAATGCAGGGGGAGTGGTTTCGATCCCTGGCTGGGGAACTAAGATCGCACATGCTGCGAGGCATGGCCAAAAAATAAACAACAACGATGTAATTAAACCAGCCAAGATGACTAAGTATAATACCACAAAAACGCAAAAAAAAAAAAAAAAAAGGTATGCCATGAACGCATAAAACATATGTAGATAATAGTCTATCCTTACATAGACATGAGTGATATTTAATATAAAGTTAATAATGTTTTACTTTTCTGTTTTTTAACTCTGCCCATCATCACAGGTAAGTGGTTTTTTAAAAAAATGGAACAATGTTTCTGACACTGTATTATGAATATGACTGTAATACTGTATGCCATAAAAATTTTATAATGATTCATTCATTAGTGTATAGGCTAGGCTACCGTGAAGCAATCACACTGATTACAACAGGCTACCATAAAGCAATCACACTGTTGCTTCTTTGTTATCAGTGCCCGAATCATTATACCTGTAAATAAATATGAATTTCTTTTTCACATTATCTTTTCATTTTTGATGTTCAGTGTTAGTAATATGTGTAACATCTACAGTGTTTTGTATCATATGACAATATTGATACTGACAGGTGATTCATCTTGTAAACAAAGTAAACTTATGATATAGTGCAGTATGTAAATGTATTTTGTCTTCCTTATGATTTTCTTTTCTCTAGCTTACTTTATTGTAATATACAATACATATATATTATAAAATGTGTTAATCAATAATAAAAAATAAATAAAACAAACAAAATAAAACATAAAACTAAATAAAACATAATGTGTTTCAGATATAGAAAACTCATGGTTACTTATGGGGAGAGGGAAAGGGGGAGGGCCAATATAGGGGTAGGGGAAAAAAAAGGGTTATTATGGGATTACATAAAATCATGTGTGAAACTTTTGAAAATTGTAAAGCACTACAGAATTTAAAGAATCTTTCAATTAAAAAAATCCATTAAATTTAAAAAACATAATGTGTTTATGTTACTGGTAAGGCTTTAGTGAACAGTAGGCTATTAGTAGTTAAGTTTTGGTGGATCAAAAGCTAATCTGGGATTTTTGACTGCCCGGGGTGGGGAGTTGACACCCCGACCCCACATTGTTCAAGGGTCAACTCTATTTCTTTTACCCCTTTCATTCAGTATCTACTGAATGAATGAGAACCTGCATGTTTCAAATGTCTATGCTCAATTGTCAAGAGTGAAAAGAGAGAAACTAAAGAAAAATTTCTAACATCTCTGGTTTTCATTTATGAATTTAATTTCATTTATTGCCTTTACTATTGGCAGATGATTTAATAGAGATAAAGTCAATAAACCCCCATAGTGCCCCCAATTTTTTTTTTTCAGAGGAAACCTAGTAAACAAGATGAGCCATTGGCTAGGAGTCAAGCGTGTCATACCTACTCATGTCATTCTGCGCAAGGCACAACATAGGAGCCCTCATTTTCCTCCATCTCAAAATCTGAAATAATTTTGGGATAAGTTTTTCACTGGAAAGTGTCACAAAGTTATATAACAAAGTGAAGTACCAACAAAAATGTAGTGAATTTTTTAAAGAGAGGATAAAAGAAGGGTGGTGATGGTAACACAGTAAAAAAGTAAACAGTAAAAGAAAGAGATGAGTCTTTTGACATCTGGTTTCCATCACTAATTGAAATAAATTACTGAAGCCATTTTATTATCCTGATCTTTACTGTAATAAACATTCAACACCTCAGGATTCAGTGATCTTTTGGAAATGCTAAACAGTAAATAAGAAATAACAGAGGTTGGGAAGAGGTTTGCCTGTGTTTCATCTTTCCTCCCTTTTATTATTCATTCATTCCTTCATTCATGAAATGATTCCTGACTGCCTATTCTGTTTCAGGCCCTACTCTGGACACTGGGATATATAATCCATTTTCTTGAGAAACTCTCAGCGGATTGGTAGAGACAGCGAGAGGTCAGGAAGCAATAACTAACCTTTCTACAATGCTTTACTTTTTACAAGGTATTTTTATAGTGCCTGCTACATAACAGGTGCTCAATTTGTTGAATGAATGAAACAGTAGATGGTTAAGAGCATGGACTCTGAAGGAAGGGCTTCAAATCCCGGCTCTACCACAAGCTAGCTATATGACTCTAGGTCAAATCTCCCTAAGCCTCAATTTTCAGTAAACGGAGGTAATAATAGTAGTAATTACCTAATATGATTGTTATGAGAATTCAACATAAACCACAATACAGAATAAACGTTTAATAAGTGTTAGCTATTGAAAATAATAAAATAGGAATGGCAATAAAGGAACAGCTACACAGTCTCATTTAATCCTCACACTGACTCTGTTGGAAGGAAAACTGAAGTTTTGCTTTCAGACCTTCAAAGGTCCAAATGTCTAATTTGTATGTATTATGTAAGGCAATGGCATTATGAATATGAAAACAGCATCTTATAGGTACACTTAAAATACAATGATCATCATTTATCAGAAGGACTAAGTCAGTCAATCATTCTCCCTTGGTTTAGGGGCATCAGATGAGGCAGGGCAAAAGAGAAAGAATGAGCAAATGAACAAACAGGGCTAATAAAATTTAAAATCAAGTATAAAGTAAATGTCAAAGTTCAACGCCAATGGCTTTAAATTTAAAATCAAGTATAAAGTAAATGTCAAAGTTCAACGTCAATGGCTTTAAGTTTAAAATCAAGTATAAAGTAAATGTCAAAGTTCAACGTCAATGGCTTTAAATTTAAAATCAAGTATAAAGTAAATGTCAAAGTTCAACGTCAATGGCTTTAGCCTCAGATGAAGTCATACTACATCTAACAGGATGAACAGGAGTATCAACCATGATCCCTACGACAGAAACTTCAAATCGTAAGTTGCCATTTCAAGGACAACATAGCATGGCCCTTCATTAATCATAAATCCACACCCTAGAAATGAAACCAAAACCTATGTTTATCTTTCACGTTAGGCAACATTTTAAAAGATCAATTTATTCTTGAGATTCACTTACACAGCCCTCAACCACTGTTGAAACCAAGCTCTTAAAAACTCAGCTCAAACAATAGCTTTTTACTAAATGAAAATATTATCTCAGCATTTTTCTTGACTGTTAACTCTCCAAGTCAGTGGGCAAAGTTAGCAACCTTGAAAGTATCGTTAGCTTTGATTCTAAGCAGGCCAGAAACTCAATTAAGTCAAAATGATTTTGAACAAAATAATCTCCAGGCCTGAAAAACACAAATCAGGCAAGCTACAGGTTTCCCCAATTCCTTCATAGGGTACATATTTGTTGAAGGAGGCAGAAGGGGAGAAGCAGGAAGGCTGCTCCAAACTGACTGCAGCTTCAGAATAAGTCAATTAAATTCAAATCTACCCCTTCTGGGTAGTAGATTAGAACTCAAAGGGCAGAGAGGGATGTATAACTGCAAGCTTTCTAAATTAACTGTTTTAAGAGGGCATCCAGGGGCTATCTGCCAGAAGAACATAGGTAAATTCTCCCGGCAGCACTGAGCACGCATTTTCGGGGGCTGGGATCATCCTAAGAACAAGGCCTTAAGCTGCTAGAAACCATGACAGAGTTTGGTTGAACACAGACGTTTGGATGGAGTTGTTTGTTATGTGTGGAAAGTTCTGCCATTCTCAGCAAAACTACCCCCATACCATAAGGGGAGAGCCTATCTAGAGGAATCAAGAAATAGAGGATTATGGTGACCAAGTGCACTATCCCCTTACTTTCTTTTTCTTAAAAATATGTATTATCACCTGGTACAGTATACACTGTTTATATATTAACTGTCTTCTCCCTATTATAATGCAAGCTTCACCAGCCTAGGGATGGACCCTACTGCTATAACCCTTGGTTAAGGACACATAATAGTGCCTGTCACATAGTAGGTAGTCAATAAATGTTTGCTGAATGAATCATTTTTGCCCTTCAATCTGTATCTCAAACAAGCCCTACCTATTTTTGGTTAGCCAGTTTGAAAGGGGTTTCTTGACATATGCAACTGGAGTTGTAAACGCATTCTGTTCTCAATCTATTATGAATGTGATATTCCTCTCTAGTTTATGTCACAAAAATAGGATTTTACTACATCACTACTAACTGGATGCACCTTCTCTCGGTCCTTTTTTTTTTCCCCCAGTGTGTACCCTTTGTAAGGAGGTAAAAATGTCCAAAAGTCTGTGAGCTTAACACGGAAAGAACCATGTCACACACATCTTGCTGTTCCCTTGGATGTGTATGGCAGAAATTAGGGTTCAGTGTTTACTGAACTGAACGAAATCCCCCAGTCTTTCTTTATCACTCCTTTGCACACTTCCTGTTACATTACTCTTATATTCTGTGTGCCAGCTCTTATTTACCTTGCACCACCCAGGACTTCCTTTGGATAAAAACATTAAGAAAATTAGTAAATTTATACTTTTTCGGTACCTCCTTTGTAAACAAGAACAGTTAAGTGAAAATCATTTATCCATATATTAATGTAGGTAATTAATATGCTCCAAAAACAGCAATCTCTTTAAAAACCAAAACCCAAACATCAAAAAGGTGAAAATAATTTACTTTCCACGGTAACAAATTCAAGCATAATTAGGTTGAAATTACCATGTGTAAGTTCATTCTTGGCACAGAATTCTATCTCCCTTCTTTTATGAATGACATAAGCTTGTAACTCCTGGCCAATACGGCATATGGCCATGTCTCTAAATGATGCACAATTAAAACTGTCCTTAGGACAAACGAGGTTCCAAAAGTATGATCAAACCATTTATAAGCATTTCATCAAACAGTCCAGCGGTGCGGTTTTCCACTCTCGCACCTACATACAAATGTGGGGAGCTGTCTAGATTGTGCTGACTCACAGGCAGATAGCTTAGAGTATTTTCCAAAGGTCAGGAAAGGATCTCCAAGCTGAGCTTGAAATGAGAAAAGCCTTGACAGCCCACTCCATTCATGAACCCGATGCCTCCTTAATCGATCAGCACCAGGTGGGTATCAGACGCCGGGCAACAGGGGAAAGCCAACGGCCACTGCCTAAAGGAGTTCACAGATTATCGCAGACGTTTCACAAGGGTGGACTCCTTTCCTTTACCCTGCGAGGTCAACCCGGGCAGCGCAAACAGTAGAGAAGAGGAAATCTCCCCCTTTACGGATGTTATTCTCAAGGGCGGAGACAGGAACGGTCCCAAGTTCATGGCTGTTAGCAGCTATGGAACAAGGAAGAAGCTGGAGCCCCTCCTCCCCCGGCTGCCAGCCGGGGCCCAGACACCCCGGATCTTGCACACCCCTTCCGGGGGCGATTGCCCCCCGGAGCACCTGCCCCTCCGGCGGCCCGGCTCCCCCTCACGACCCCCGCCCAGGCCGCACCGCCCACTCTCGCACATGCGCACCTCTGGAAGACCCCCGAGTCCAGGGCCGCACGCAGGACCCAGCCAATGAGCGGGACCCCCGCCAGGTGCTTAATGTTCTTCAGGGGGATGCCCTTGCTGCCGCCGCGGGCCAGGATTAGGGCCGCCAGGTGCGGGGGCTTCTCCACACCTCGGCCCTGGCCCCCGCGAGAGTTGCGCTGCAGCTTTGGCGGCCGACCCCGGGAGGGCCGGCCCCGCGGGTTGGAGACGGAGGTGGCGGCCCCCTTCTCCACCGAGTCCATCTTCCTCCCACGCCTTCTCCCCAGCTTCTCCACATCCGGGAGCTCTTGTCTCGCCACCTCAGCTCGGCGCCGCCCGACCTCCCCGCCCGACCGCTAGCGGGGGTGGCTGTTCCCGGCCCCGCCCACCGCCACGTCCCCGCGCCCTCGCGGGGCACGCCGGGAATTGTAGTCCGAGGGTCGCTCGCAGGGTCCCGGAGGCCCAGTAGGCTCTGCCCGGGCGACCCCCAAGTCCAAGCCCGGCACGGAAAGGCCAGAAATGCCTTGAAGGAAGTGTAGCTTCCAGGGGGCTTGATATTGTATGGAAATTAATAAAATAGGCAACACAGGTTACCGATCTTCTGCTGAAGAACTTCTCCATTTAGGAATTGTGGTGGGTTTTCCACGGCACACCCTGGTGCACCCGAACACTAAACAATTTTATATTTTAAAATTTATATTTTAAACGTCCGTCTTTCTGCTATGCTTCTGACTCATTGTTTCCAAGAGATGACCTCATTCGAATGTCCTCCAAGCACCTTAAATTCAACATTTTAAAAACAACCCTCCCAGAGCAACCCTGTATTTTTGGTAACTATGTGAGGAGAAGCTCAAACTGCTTCTACCTCTGCATTTTCTTTTTCTTTCTTTCTTTTTTTTTTAATTGAGGTGTAACTGACATATAACATGTTAGTTTCAGGTGTACAATGTAATGATTCAATATTTGTATGTATTGGGAAATGATCACCACAATAGGTTTAGTTAACCTTTCAACATATCTGTCTGCCTTTTCTATCAAATATCACCATCCGTCTGGTGGAAAAACTTGGAAGTCAACCTTGTCTATTCCCTTCTAAGTGTAGTAGACACCTGTTAGTTTTCTTGTTTTTGGACTTCTGAAAACCTTTTCCTTTCAGCAATTGTCACCTCTCTTACCTGGTTTGCGTTTCACGCAAATCCTCAGCAGAGTAGCAGTGGGTGTGTGACCCAAGTTGATCAATCTAAGTACCTCAGCTTCCTGAACACAGTTGTGGTCTAGGAACAGACATATGACCAAGCAGAGCCTCTTGGCGTCCTTTCCAGAGACTCTGGGAAAGAAAGGATCTTTTTCTTGCTGAATATTTGGGTGCTAAGGACCCTGTAAACCTGAATCCTGAGGGCAGGATGAGGGAAGGGGGTGGTGGGAGTTTCTGTTCTGAAATTTGCTGGGAGGCTGATGTTCACACAGAAGAAAACAGGGCCAAGACATGCAGGGAGAAGAGAGAAAGAGCCCCGATGGCATCACTGAAACCTCTTAATCCAGCCAAGAGGTTCAAAGGTGCGTGCGTGCGCACACACACACGCACACACGTGCATACATATATCTCTGTTTTGGGGTGGTTTTTTAGGAAGGAATCTCCTACCTAGCATGCATTTTGTTTTTTTACCAGTTTTGCAAGCCTGTATCTGGAAGTAGAGAGTCTCCTTGTTTGTCCTGGGTAAAGGCTAGTACATCCGGAACGAATGAAAGGTAGTAGTACTGCCTCTTCTTCTCAAGACGTGACAGAAAGCCTTTGTGCTTCTCAGGTCTTGGCTCTTTCTGAAGGAGACAGAGTAAGCCTTTCGTGTTTTGGGTCCTGGACAGGCACTGGAAACTTCACGTCTCATCTGTTTGCCTGTGAAGTAGCTCAGCCCTTACTGGGACTGGTTCTGGGAGAAGGTGCTGAATGTAGGGTAGTGTGGCTGTAAACAGACATCAGTGCAGTGTCTGAGGAAGGTGGGCAGACCCCAAGAACAATCCCAGCACTCCAGGCCAAGTGACCACTTTGCCCCCAACGTACTGGCTCATTGACTGGGACCTTCACAGTTATTTTGCTTGAGAGAGAGCAACACTGAGTTTTTGGTAACCATGTAAGGAGGACATCTACTGCTTCTTACACACCAAAACCTCTTTTCTCCTTTCCACACCAATAACAATCTTAGTTCCCACTAATAAGATAGTTACCATTCTCCACAGTAATTCCCTAGGGGCCCACAAACCCTAGTGGGCCACTGACATCTGAATAGTTTAACTTCTCTGGCACTAGTGTCCTCTAAGCTGGGGACACAGCAAGTGGCACCACTGTTGCTTATCAAAGGAGATTATAGCAATTTGTGTAAAAGCTGTGAGACTATGGACTCCTCCAGGAGAGGGACTGTTCCTTCTTTGTAATCACATCCAGAACAATATGTGGGTCACAGTATCTGCTTAGTAAACGGCAGTGGACTACGTTCGATGTCACTTTTCCAGTCTCTGCCCACACATACTTTTTTCTTTTTTTTTCACTCTCCAACATTACCATAAACTCATTTATTTAAAAGAAACTGTACGTCCATATCCTGGCTGAATTGGGCATTCATATTATGTGTTAAATGCCCAGGAATAGCAAAAAATTAAACCAACTCCATACAAAGCAACTATAAGAACCCAAAAACAAAACAAACAAACCAAGAATCATACTTTTAGCTGTTGAAAACTCTCTCCCCCAAACGAACCACAAAGTGGTATACTGCCACGCATACTTTTTTATATGGTTGCAGTCTTACAGTAATAAAGCATCTTGTATTCTTTGTATTTTTACAGTACAGTTTTGATTAGACTTGACAACTGGCTGTCCCAGTCCTGAGAAAGAAAGAGAGAGAGGCAGGGGAAAGATTAGAAAAAGTGGAAGGTGATTCATCTAATTCAATATATGACACATGGAAGTTTGATAATTTTTTTTCAGTGAAATCAGAATATACTCATTTAATATATTTTTCTTCTGTGTGGTCAATGGGCATAAAGTTTCCGGTAAACAAGATGGATAAACTCTAGAGATTTGCTGTACAACATTGTACCTATCGTCAACAATAATGTATTGCATACTTAAAATTTAAGATGGCAGATCTCATGTTACATGTTCATATCACAGTAAGTAAAATTTTGAAAAAAAGAGAGAGACAATAACTGTGCCAGGAAGAGGAAATGTTAGCTTGTCTTTGGGTTACTCTGAAGGAGTTAAAAATAAACTGCTCTCAAAACAAATATTCGGATTCACCCTTTCTTTAAAGATGTGTGTGAAGTATTGCTGCCAAAGAATAATTCATTTGTATTCATAGTGAGAGAATAAATCTTTGTATGACATCTTATTTTATGATCCTGTATATGAACACACTCAATACACAGAGGAGTCCTTTCATTCATTGATTTGCTCGCATTTATTGCATTCCACAAGCCAGGCCTTGTGTGACACTTCAGGAAAGCAAAGCAAGATGGCCTAGACCCAGAGCTTAGCATTCTGATGGGGAGACAGGCAAACATCAGTAGAGTGTCGTTTGTGCTTTGATAGAAATGTGTGTTCTGGGGTGGGCAAGAATGGGGGAGAAGTATTTAGGTTAGAGTGAGATTTTTGTTGGCTGAGATGACTCTTGCAATACTGTTCAAGTACAAGAATCTTCTCTGCTGAAGGAACAACCTTGGGGAAGGAACAGAAGAATGAAATAGCTTTCCAAAGAGAAACTGGGAAACTTGAAGTCGGTCACTATAATTGGAGCATATGATACTTGTGGGTTCATGGCAAAAGATGAGAATAGAAGGGAACATGTGGGCCAGATTACAGCACATAAAGGTATTAGGAGCCAAGCCTTGTCAAGGAAGTTATAAAGAGCAGGGATAGGACACAATTCACTTCATTCTTTCAGCAAATCATTATCGCATGACTACTGTGTGTTAGGTACTTTGCTGGCCCCTGGAAATACATCGAAGGTGCTAGAAAGTGCTCAATTTCTGGATGTATCTTAGAAGTATAGCTAATAGGATTTGCTGACAAGCCAGATGAGGGGTGTGAGAGAAAGAGGGAGATAAGAGTGGTGGCAGGATCTTTGGCCTGACCATTATAATTTTGTAATGTTGGTGACTCTCACCAACAAGAGGGTAGGATTGAAGCCATACCAACATCTGAATCTAAGGATCAGTCAGTCTCTGGTGATGCAAGAATCCCAGCTCTGGAGAAAACCCCCTTTCCTTGAGTATTTCTGGGAGTTCTCAAGGGTGTCTTACATGTGCCCATGAAAATGAAAGTCCTGGCTGCAGTTGCTAGAGCACCACAGACCTATTTCTCTCTCTGGAGCTAAGCTAAGATTTTCTTATTGGTTTTTTAACACATAGATTTTTCCTGAGTTGTAAGTACTACATATATGTGTATATATATATATGTATATACATATATATTTTTTACTGATTTGTAAGTACTATATATATATGTATATACATATTTACTGAGTTGTAAGTACTATATATATATGTATATACATATTTACTGAGTTGTAAGTACTATATATATGTATATACATATGTATATGTGTATGTATATATATACATATATACACACACACACAATTCTATATTCTTTTTTTGTTGTTTGTATCATTATAAAGTCTTTAAACTTACTGCTAAAAGTTGTTTAAAATTACTTTCAATGGATAGACCATACTTTATTCAGCAATTCCTTATTACTGAACATTTGTACGTAAGGTAATAATCCCTAATAAGTTTGTGTATAAATTTGTAATGATGAAGGCGATGGTTCCTGAAACAGATTTCTGTAAATGAAATTACCCGAATAAAATTTAGTGATTATCTTCCTTTGAATCCAAATTAAGATTCAGTGCTATCTGGCTATGTTGGCAATGGTTACTAGTCACGTATAAGTTATCTCTTGCCACATAATAAATTACCCTAAAACTTAGCAGCTTAAACCAACAGATATTTCCATCTCACAGTTTCTGAGGGGCAGAGAGGCATTTAGAGGAGCGATTCTGGCTCAGGGTTTCTCATGTGGTTTCAGTCAAGCTCTCAAGTGGGGGCCATGATCACCTCAGGGCCTGACCGAGCTAGAGAATCCACTTCTAAGGTGGCTCATCCACCTGGCTGTTGGCAGGTCTCAGTTCCTTGCTGGCTGTTTGTGTGTCCAGAAGCTTCCCTCAGCTCCTTGCCACATGGGCCTTTCCACGAGGCAGCTCACAGTATAGCAAGCTGCATCCCCCGAGCAAGTGACTCAAGAGAGAATGGAAGAGCAACC